TCCAGCTGTGGCACGACCAAGGGGGCTGGGGGGCGAGGATGCAGGGAAAGGGGAGGAGGAGGAGGTTGTGGGGCTCCCTGGGGGGCTCCTGCCCCTTCCTCGCCACCTTCCCACTCCAGGTCATGGATGCGCAGGCAGTTCTGCTGCCTGAGAGATGAAGTGCCCGATACTGCCCTCCCTCCTCCACCCTGGCACCTTGCCGGAGCCCCCCCGAGCCCCTGGCCCTCCTGGGGTGCCCCCTCCCTGGGGCATCCAACATGCTGCAGTTAACACCATCATCTAACTCGTGCTGAGGGGCTTCTGTATTCCAGGTCCTTCTCCCGGCCTGATCTCAGCACAGGGTGTTCTTAGCCCCTGGCCCTTGGGGTGGGGATCCCGCAGATCTGCATTTTGCCTTTTTCTAACCAGTGCAGCCATATCTCTCTACCAGATCTATCAAGTTTGTGGGTTTTGTAGACATTGGCTACTTAAAACTCAAACTCCGATGAACAGAATTGCTCTGAGATGCCCTTTTTTTTTTTTTTTTTTTGGCTGATCCTGTGATTTTATTTTTTTTTCTAATGTTTACTGCAGATATTTAAAAGTTTGGAATAAAGTTATATGTAAAACTGTAGACACTACAATTGTAAATAAACTGTATATTTTGAAAAATAAAGCCTTTTAAAAAGGGTCTGTCAAACATATTCCTCGGGACTGCTCCCATGTTGTCCCACCCTTGGTGCATCTCTTCCCAGGTGCCGATGGCCCTCGGTGCCGCGGTACCTTGTGCTCACCTTGCTCAGCTTCCCTACGCTGACGAAAGCCGTGCCGTCAACCATGGTGGGAGATGGTCTTTGCAGGGAAGAACCACGGCAAACCTGCATGACCTTTTTCAGTAAGCGGAAGATGCTCACTTCTCCAAAATTGGGCAACAGCATCATGTGCCATCTGGTGCTTCCCAAAAATCAGCCCGGCCCTCTGACGAAGACAGATGCAAAATTTCCTGTACTCCCAGCAGAGGTCAAACACTGTTTCCAGAACTTCCTTTGATGCTGGGGGGTCCTGGGGCTGCAGGGATGGGGAGGGGAGTGGAAGGTCCCAAAGGACCAGCATCCCTGGTGCAGGATGAGTGTCGGTGTGCTCTGGAGGGTGCAGAGCTGATGCCGAGAGTGTTACAGTGCCCTGGACCAACCTTGCCACAGCTGGTGGCACAGCAGAAGGCAGGGGGATACCTGAAATTGCAGCAAGTGTCAATATGAGGGGGGCACAGCCTCCTCCATCCCCTTCTTCGTAAAGCTCTTCCCGCAGATAATTCCTTCCTCCAGTTAGCAAAACCCAGCACAGGGGGGCTACAGCCCACCTGGCCCCTTCCTCCACCACCCCCAGCAGCTTTCCGGGAATGGGGGGGGGAACCTGTGGTCGTGTGGGAAGCCACAGTGGGTTGCACAATGCCCCTTCCGCTGCACACTATAAACGCTTCGCCTTGCCGTGCCCCTCCAGTCTGCAGAGGCAGCCGAGGTGGAGGCGAGCGGAGCGGAGCCAGGTAAGCCCAGCTGATTTCTCTTAGCAAGCAGATGAGCTTCTTCCTTGGGGGTGTGCTGGAGAGAGCCTGAAGAGGGTGAGTGGCTGCAGCTTGTTTCTGGGTGCGTTTCCGTCTCCGTCTCGTAGAGCCCAGCAGCCCTCTCTCAGTGCTGGCTGTCAATGGTGTGGGAGGCTGCTGCTAATTTCCCCAGGAAAGGGGCAGTTTCCTGTCCCTGCTGCCTGGACGTGGGCTGGGGAAGCAGCGACCGTCCCTGCGGGGATGCCAGGTACATAGAAAGGTTTTGATGTAAAATCTTAAGCGGGCAATCCAGGGCTACAGGGAGAAAATATGGAGAAGTTGGGGACGCTGGGGCTGCGGAGGCATGAAAGCTTTTATTAGATGGGTGAGAACAGAGACAGACATTATCTAGAAGTGAAAATGGATCTTTGTGGTCAAAGAGGTAGGCTCTGCGGGCAGCACCCCTGCTTGGTGCGGGGCTGGTGCCGGGGAGCGCTGCCTGCGGGGTGCTCCTTGGATCATCGCTGACCCTGCCCGTCTGTGTGTATGGCTAGCACTAATTAATTTACATAAATTAAGCCAAAACATTTCTTGCTAATGCAGAGCAACATGTGCCAATACTGCTGCTACCGGTGTCCCTGCGAGTGCCCTCTCTGGTCTGCATGAGCTGCTGCAGCACTGGGTGAAGCAGAGAGAAAGCAAAGCAGCCGGAGAAGATATAAGGGGCTATAGGAGACATGGAGGGTGGTATGCCATGTTAAGGCTGTTCCTTAGGGTGGAAGACGTGGAAGAGCCACAGCCAGTTGATTTCCAGTTGCTGTCCAACGCTCACCTTCACCAGACACCACCAGCCCACATCCCCAGGGGCCAAGCCCTTTGCGACAAGCATGGACATCGTGGAGAAGATCTTCTCCGTGGCCCAGGCCATCCACACCCAATTTGAGCAGGTGAAGTGCTGTAAGCACCAGTGCCAGCGCCTCGTGAAGCGCATCCAGATCCTGCTGGAGCCCGTGAGAATCCTCGAGGCTCAGTCGCCAAAGCACATCTCCCACCACGTAGCGGAACTGTTGAACAAGCTGCTCCAGGCGCTGGGGGAAGCTCAGAAACTGGTGATGAAATACAGCCAGACCAGCTGGATCCAGAAGTTCCTGAGAGCCCACAGCACCAGCGAGGAGTTCATCTGGGTGAACGAGAGCCTGGAGGACATTGCCCAGGGGCTCTCGCTCCTGCTGCAGGCAGAGCAAAAGCAGGCTTTCCTGGAGGCTTTCCACGAAAAGACCTGTCGTAGGCAGGACGCCGAGGATCTGAGGGACGATAGGGCTTTCTTGGACCAAGTGATTGCAAGTAAGTGTGCATTTAGCAAACTCTCTTTCACTGAGACCGGTGGTCGGTACCTCTCACCGGCTGCTGCCCAGCTTTGGCTTGGTGGTCATGGCCAAGGAAAGCCGAAGAGATATTTAAGCCATGAGAAAAGCTAACCACATCAGTCCTGCACGTTCATCCAGCAGCCACACCTCTGCACGTTTCTCTCCCCAGGCACCGAGGAGCCCGAAGACGTGGCTGGGGAGATCTGTATCGACAGGCAATGTATGGAGAACAAGGTAGACTGGATGCAAAGCGAGCTGAACAAAATCGTGCGCGTGATGGAATGTAAGTCGGCATCGCACTTCTAGGCAACTAGTGTGTATCCTTTCACCTCGAGCCCTACCTAACGTGTCCCTCATTCCCTCCCGGCACATGGTGGGAGCAGGCTTGAAGAAGGTCAACGTTGATAAAAGAGAAGACATCACCGAGATCGAGCGGGACCAGCTCACCTTCCACAGACACATGCAGGACACTGAGAGCTATGACCTCTACAAGGGCGAGTACCTCAAGTACCCCGTAGCCATCAAAACCTTCAAGAGGCCGCTGACCACCGACCCAGTGTGAGTTGTCCTGCGCAGGAGCAACATGGGGCAGCCAGGAGGGGACAGTGCCATGTCATGCCTTGCTCTGTGGACCTCACCATGCTGTCCCTTTCTACAGGAAGGTGAGAGACATCTTTGAGAAGGAGATTCAGACCCTGAAGAAGTTTGAGTCTCCAAACATCCTGCGCATGTATGGGATCTGCATTGAGGAGAAAGGTAGGGGGTGTCACGTTATTGTCACCCCTTCCCTCCTCTGCCTGTCCCTGACACTAGCTGGTGGCAGACAGTTTGTCGTGGTCCCCTCCCAAGAGGTGGCACAAGGCGGGATACTCAAGGTTTTGCCTTGCAGATGGAAGCCCCTGCTTCTCCATCGTCATGGAGTACTGTAAGCATGGGACGTTGCGGGATGTGCTGACCAAGCAACGGCATCTTTCCTGGGAGGTCCGCATTCGGATGGCCCTGGGAGCTGCCAGAGGCCTTTACAGGTGAGCTCCTGCCTAAAGCACTGAGTAAGGCCACTTGATGGTCCACAAGCTGTGCTTAACTTCCTGGTATCTCTCAGTAAGCAGTGGTATACTGTCAGACACTGTTTCCACTACCTTGGGACACTGGGATGGGAGGCTGGTGAAGAGGTAGGCGGTGGGTTTGGATGCAGTAGCACCCATCTCCCCTGGTCACTGGCCCCTACATCTAGCTTGAAGCCTGCAAAGGCATGGGAGACACCCCCTTCCCCGCACCCATAGGGCAGCTTCAGGATCACGCTATAGCACAGCCAGTTCTTACAGGCCCCACTCATCCACAACGTTATTTCCCCCACAGTAGCTCTTTTAGCACCTGCTAGAAAGGTTGGCTTGGCAGGGTTGGTCCACCAAAACAGGCAGAGAGCTGCTGGCTTCTCTAGGTGCATGTTGGTCCATCCCCTACCTGGAGAGAGGGAGACTCAAGGTAAGGATGAGTCCATCACCCAGCCCTTGGTTCTGTCTGTCTGCAGGTTGCACCAGACAGAGAAGAAGTCCCGTCTCCATGGCTGCATCTGCAGTAGCAAGTTCCTGGTGGCTGGGGATTACTGTGTGAAGGTAAGGACCATGCTTGGAGAAGCTTTCGGGAGTTTTGCATGATTTTGTGGATGTCTTCCCCCCCCCCAAACACCAAAGGTAATTATGATGGTCCAGAATAACACCTGGGCTAGAGTCATCTCCCCTGTCACCTTGGACAGCTAGCATCTCAGTTCATCATTATCTCTGTTTTATCATCAGCAAAGCGAGTGTTTCTTAGCCATCCACCTTGGGATGAGCTGAAGGTATGGCAGTTCACTTGCCTCCACCTATGGTTTCACTTGCAGAAAGAGCCACGTGCCGGGCAGCACGCATGCCATCTTTTGCTGCCCAGGGCACCTTGTTCTGTTTTCTCCAGGTCGGGGCAGTCCCCAGCCATGCCACAGGTTTCTTCAAACTGCTTTTCTACCACTTCTCCCTCTCTCATTCTCTCAATCAGCTGTCAGGATTCGAGCTGTGTGAAACAGAGTCATCCATCAAGAGGAAAGCCAAGAAGAACTGGAAACGAGTCTCCATGTTGGCGTACATTGCCCCTGAGAACCTAAAAGACATCAACTACCCCTACAAGAGGCCTTGTGAAATATACAGGTGTGTTTGTCCCTCCTGGGAGAAATGCCCACAAGCAGGCAGATGTCTGGCAGAGTAGCTGTTGAGCTATGGAAGAAGGCCAGGTTTAATCGGACACATAAGCAGCCGTTTGCGGTTGGCATAGCCTGACGGTCCCCTCGTTAGAAGGGAGGATGAGGTGGTGGGATGAATGCTGAGACTCTTGCTTGTCTCCTTCCAGCTTCGGGATCGTGCTGTGGGAGATCGCAACCTCCAAAATCCCATTTGAAGGTGAGACAGAAGTATCTGATCCTTGTGTAAAAGTCACACGCGGGCTGGTGTGGCTGCTGGCTTGCTTTGGATGCTCCCTGCTCCTTCCCGGAGCATTCCGCGGTGTGCGAGTCCCAGTGGCAGTGCCTGGCGTGCCTGGCTGTGCATGACAGCTTCATAGCTTCCCCTGGGACTCCAATACAGCAAAGCATTTCAACAACATGCTTAAACCACAAACATGCAAATAATTTTTGTCTCTATTTGATGTTCCTGTGCATTGAAGCATGAACACATCTCCTTGCTTCACTGGAGCCCAACTGTGATGCCAAATACGGGGGGGAGGTTCATTGCAGACACAGTTTAGGTGGCTTCTCTGCTGGTTTCTCCATGCCACAGGCTGCGGGAAAGCTCTTGGTGTGCTTTTGCGCTGGGTTTCCTCCCCAGCACCCTCCTGTGGCTGCAGAGCTCTGTCCTAACACTCCTGTTTGCACACGTGTTGTCTAGGCTGTACTCCCCAGGAGATCGTGGAGAAAATCTGCAACCACCATTACCAGGACCCCGTTGGGGAAGATTGTCCTGCAGACCTGCGGAAAGTCATTGACCAGTGCCGGGCCTTTGACCCTTCCCTACGCCCTTCTGCTGAGGGTAAGTGTCCTGGACATCTGCTCCTTCCTCCACAGGCGCTTTGTATTCCTCAATCAGCTGCTTCAGCAGTCTCTTTGCCTTTGATTTTTCCATATGAATTTGTCTGGCTTTGTGTTTTGGGATCACTACTTGACTTACCTTCTTATGCTAACGAGTCCCCTAATACTAGACCTCTCTTTCTCCTGTAGTGTGACGGTTCATGCGGTTAACATTTATCCATGCCTTGACAATAATCACCAGGCTGTTTGTTTGGCATCACACACGAGTAAGCTTTTTCCCTCAGACAAGAGCCGAACTGGGAGCAGGGGTGCGAGGGTTAAGGCCCACTCAGGTCCTACAGATCCTGTAAGCTGGAGGAGCAGCCACCACACGGTGCAGGAACATAACCTGCCTTGGGCTTCCAGCAATAAATTGCAATCTTAGGAATTGCTCCATGGTGGGGAAGATTTCACTGTCTTTGAAGCTGGTCTGGGTTTGATCAGATAAATAATTGGTCTCCATTGGAAGATTTAACAGAAACAGCAGGAAAAGATAGAGGAACATTTCTGGTGTGCTTGAAGGAACAGAGGTCATCTCTTCAAGGGGAGAAAGCTTCCTTCAGTCTCACCTGCCCCATCCTATGGGGCCTGTTTCCATACAAGAGATGTGGAGACTGTGCAGAAGAAACCACCCAGCTCCCACTGTACGCCACCGTCTCTGTGCCTCCGTCTCCCAACAGCAGCTCTCCCAGCAGACCCTGCCGCAGGGAATTGCCCTGGCCAAAGTAAAAACATCAAAAAAATCACCAGAGATGCGGCCAAAGCAGCACTGAGGATACAGCGTGTCTTTATTACTCTAATCCAACACCCAGCCGTGCCTGCGTGGTTCTGAGCAGGAAGGACATCTTCCTGTGGCTGTTTCCAGGCATCTCTCCGTATATGTGGCTGCTTCTCTTTGGGCTCTACTCACCTGTGCCTGCTCGGGGCTGTCCCCTGCTAATGGCTGCCGAGTCGTGCTGGCCTGAGGAGAGAGTGACTCCATATGCTGGTTGTTATCAGTGAGGGAGAGCAATCTCATCAGCGAGGGGGAAAAAAAGCCTACAACAAATATTCTGGTTTTGATTAACGCTATCCTTGTGTTTTGCAGAGATTGTGGACTTGCTGGCTGACCTGGAGAAAAGCAGAAACCAAGGAAGCTAACTGCAGAAAGCAGGGTCCGGTGACCAAAGCTGCCAGGCACCTTGGAAAGCAAGCCAAAGGAAAGCAGCGGGCCTTCCTCCTTCAGGCCAAAGCGCGGTGCTCGCCCCTCTTCTCCGCCTGGCAGAGACTGATCCTTCAATACACATTTATTTGTTTCTGTATGTGGAGACCTTTGCCTCTCCAGGGGTCCTGGGTTCGCCTCAGAGGCGGCTGGCG